TCGAGCAGCGAGATGAGCCGTTCTTTCTCGATGTCGCGCGCCAAGTTGTCGCCGTTGATCCTTGGTTGCCGACTGGCAGCAGCGAGAAGGTCATTTTGCTTCCCAATCGCCACCTTGTGCTTGTTAGTTGCTGCATGACGCTTGAACGCCTGAGTCTGAACGTCTGTAGCGCCTTTATACCGCCCCTCCCGCACCGTCCAGAGTAGCCCGCATGTTCAGAATAGACACTGCATTTGAAAGCAGGTAAACCATCAATAGTTTTAAGTAACAAAAGCCAAGCAAATCTCTCAAGCCACTCGCTCTTGTATTTCTCCAGACACTCAGCGTAAATAGCGTCGCGCTGAGACTGTATCAACGGCCCAGCTTCGCAAGGCGATTGCTGCATGCCAGCAGTGGCGGGTGACGAAGGCACGTCGGTTGGAGACAGCGCGGATGGTCCGTCGACAGAGGCATTGGAGCGAAACGGGAGCGGTAACTGCTTGTAACGCCCATTCTTCTTCGGCAGGGTTGTTGGCGTAGATTCTGCCACGGGGGGCGCCTCACGTTCTTGCTCAAAATCAGGCGCTGAAAGGCAATCAGCCCACCCATCTGGATCAATCGGTTCGAAAGGGATCTTGGCAGGCGACGCGACATCTGCAGGCGGTTCATGGGTGTCTACTTGGGCGAGGCTCGAAAAAAGCAGATCGAGGCCAGTAACTGCGTCAGATCTGTCCACTGGCGCTTGACGATGCCCATCATCGCTCCCATTGGGCATCAGTAACGCTGGCCTCATGGGGGGCCTGGCATAATTAGTATCTAGACCAGCTACATCTAAGCTAGAGTGAACGCGGCAGAAAACAAACTACGAGAGATGCTGCCATCGCGGCGTCCCATCCCATGCATTCAGAGTCACTGTGGGAGCATCACTTCTTGCCACCACGACGAAGTCGCATCGCGACGCATGTGCAAGCTGCAGTGCTGGAAGGCTGCCAATCTTCCAGCACGATTCCCTAAAGCATCTCCCCGTTGGGCAGCTTCATGGGTAACCCCGAAACTGCCCAATGGTGTGACACACCGCGCCAGCACATCATATGTTAGCGTGAATGTGTTGTGAGGGCTTTTTTGTCATGTAGTCACCGACACGCGGTGCTGACACCGCGGGAAATTGGGATTCCTGTTATTTCCCGGGAAATCTACAAGCAACTTAAAGTTTTCGCTTTCAGTGTCGAGGTTCGTTACAACGCTGATCCATCAGTGTTGCTAAGAAAAAAATGGCTGGAAAATCAGTGTTCTCTAAGAATACCGTAGAAGGCTGAAAAATCAGTGTTGAAAGAACAAAAAGCCTGAAAAATCAGTGTTGGTACAAAATAAAAGACTGAAATCAGTCAAATCAGGGTAAAAAGCCTGATATCTGAGGGCCTGTTGCGCTTCTATCCGGGGGCTTACGGTACTGTGATATACATGTATACCTTCATGCTTACACTTGCTAGGGTATGATCACTGTACTATTTGTTCTCTTTTATATAACTCTGCATGTGAACTGGCCTTGTGGCCATTTGCTTGTGCTCAGAATGTGTGGTGACTTCGTGATCCATCCTGAGCTTGCTTTGATTTTCTGACTGGTCTTGTGACCACTTGTTCTCCCCCACTTTGCCTATGGGGGTATGTCAAAATGTTATAGTGCTTACATTCTGTAGGCTGTAATGGGGTAGCCCATAAGGGGTATAAACCCAATTAGGGTCAGTATTTGTACCCAACTCATTCATAGTTCATTCATTCTAGTTCAGTATTCTGACAAAGCATTGATCACCGTTGTCTTAACATATTACCATGATATAGCGCAACAATTAACGATTAGTTTACTAATCTGGTTTATAAGGACGAGGACCAATGGTAATGGGTGTAATTTACAGTGCTTTTGGATGACGACGGATTAGATTCACATCAGGTGTGTGTGTAGAGAACCGCGCCATGGGTGAGAAGCAGTGCAGGAGGGGGCGCACTAGTCATAAGACAGTGATGGGGCGAACGACAGATGTGTGTTCCTTCTTGCAGCTCAGAAACTGGGCCTGCAAAGAAGGACAGGAGAGGTCAGACAGGATGTGGAAGGTGGAGGAGAGCTTGAAGCTTGGAGTTTACAGCACAGTGGGCGATGAGTAGTGGCGAGATATGGAAGAGCGTGAGACAGAGTTGTGTGCAATAAAGTGTGCGACAGAGTTGAGTGATTGACAGAGCAGTAGAGTGTGAGAACGTGTACAATTGAGCGTGAGGTTCCACATCATGACAAGTCATTCTTCCTGCAGCATAGACTTTCTCTCGTGGAAGGGCATGTGAGGTGAAGATAACAAGGCTGGGCTCACCTGCAGGTAGATCGTGATGTCTAGGGAAAGAGTCCCCATGCTGCCCACCAGCCATGGCAGGTTGCCACTCAATGCCGCCCTGCCATGCACACCGCACACACATGGGCATCACGCTTCAATTCCAGAGGTCCCTCTGCATGCACTAGCGTTTCGGGCAGAAGAGAAGCGGCGTGCAGCAGAGTAGCGTACAGAGAAGGGGCGCGCAGCAGAATGGCAGTGCCGTAGGTGAGGTTGCCACAGAAGGCGCAGAGAAACATGGCCATGGACAGCCCCCTCTGCTGACCCGCGCTCCGCGTTCTGCCAGATCTGCGACACCCGCGAGCCCAGGTAGAAGCCCGCTGACACCCACCTGGTGAGGGAGAGACAGAGGGGTGTGATGGAGAGGTGTGAGGGAGAGGTGTGAAGGAGAGGTGGGAGGGAGAGGCGTGAAGGAGAGGTGTGTGGGAGAGGTGTGAGGGAGAGGTGTGAGGGAGAGGCGTGAGGGAGAGGTGTGAGGGGGAGGTGCAAGGGAGAGGTGTGTACGAAAGGTGTCTGCGAGAGGTTTGGGGGAGAGGTATGTGGAGAATATGCTGGAGTGGCCAAGATGCCATGGATGACGGATGTCATGCAACGGGGGATGCACACACCCGAGCATGAGACCCAGCTGGTGGATGAACTTGCTGGGCTCCTTCCTCCGCCGCTTCCTCTCCGCCCTGCATGCTGCCATCTCCGCATCCCCCTCCTCCCTGCCCCTCGCCCTCCCGCCCCTCTCCCCCGCGTCCTTCTGCTCCTTGCTCAGTCTGCCAGCAAGTGGAAGCACGGGAGGCAGCAGCACCACACCTGCCTCCCTGCCTGCAAAACTGCCACCATCACTCACTGCACTGCCACCACCCCGCAACGCACAGCAGCAGCAGCACCAGCAGCAGGCTGGCAGTTGGGGTGATGGGGATGCAGCAGGCAGAGCGGTGCTGTTGCCAGACCTCTCTCTCCCAACCTCCAGCATCGCCTGCTGCTGCCACGCATGCCGCTCCCCCCCGCAACTGATGCCACTGTGCCTGCCTCTCCCTCGCCTGCACCGCCAGCAGCTTCCTTCCTGCCCGCTGCCTCGACCTCACCTGTCCCCCACCATGCCATGCTGCAACCTTGCCCCCCTGCACGGACCAGCGCCACCACTGAGCTGTGCTGTGAGCGAATCTCCTTGCTCTGAGGGGCTGAGCGCAGAGGAGGCGAGCGCCAGCAGCATGAGCGAGCCCAGCAGCAGAGACAGCGCCCCTGCCTTCTGCGGCCTGGGCCCTGCTGCCCCTCCACCAGACGCGCTACCTCCCTCAGATGCCCCTCCCCAACGGCACCAGGCACGGTGGCAGCTGCACCTGCTACAGCAGCCGAGGCACCTGCTCCCTTAGCAGCTGTCCCCTCCTGCTTCAGGTACCCCCCTCTCCACGCGGGGCCCCACCCTCACGCCCGTGCCCGCCTCCCTCCCCACCCGCTCCTGCTGCTCCATGCCCCGCCCGCCCCGCGCCCATCCCTCCCTCTCCCACTCCCGCCTGCCCCTTCTCTTCCCCCATCAGGGCTGCAGGGCTGGGCGCAGGCGCATGGGGGTGGTGGTGGATGGTGAGGCGGGCGTGCAGCAGCGGAGGGCCGTGCTCCAGCCCATACTGCTCGACTACCCGCCGCACCTCCCGCCCGCTGTACGCCCTGCGCCTGCGCCCCTCGCCGCCCGCGCCCATCCCCGCCCATTCCCCCTTGCTCCTCGAACTGCACTCGCCCCGCCTGCCCCCCGCCCCTGCGTCCCTCTGCTCCCCTGGCCTCGTCTCCAGTCGCACGTCTCCTGCTGCATGCTCCCGCCACCCCTGCCCTGTCCGCCCTTCCGCCTGTATTGTCTGACGCCACGGGGAACAGGTCCGCCCGCCCTTCCCCCTCCTCAGCTATCCGTAACAACCTGCCTCGCCCATCCCCCCGCGCTCCTGCGCCTTGCTCTCTCCGCTCACCAACACTGAGCCGCCGGCACACTGCTTTTCCTGCCACGTCTGCTTCTCCTGCTACGTCTGCTTCTTCTCTGGATGCGTTTGCGCCTTGGGGGGGTGGGAGGGAGGGGGGGCCGGGGGTCGGATGGGAGGTGGGGGCCTTGCCAGGCGTGGGCGAGGAGCACAGCGCCTGAGCGGCCAGCTAAAAACGACACCGGGTGGTAGTTGTGGTGCTCGTGCCGGTGCGGTTGATGCTGCGGCTCCTGCCTTGGTCTGTGCATGTGACTCTCATGCTCTGCTGTCGCTGCCACTCCGCCAGCCTCAACCGCTCTATAAGGCAGCTCGTTCTCTAAAGCGCGGATTTCCTCCACAGCACGCCGTGGCTTCGTCCTGGGCGGCGACAATACAGACAGCGCTCTGCTGATCGCCTCAGTGCTGGTGGCGGCATCCGCGTGGTCTGCGGGCGCGGCGGGCCTGGCGGACAGGAGCGGGCGGCGGAGGGCGGCGGAGGGCGAGGAGAAGGCGGCGGCGGTGATGAAGCCGTCCTGCTGCGACGGCGCGCGCGACATACAGTCCGCGTCCAGCTCGATCGAGTCGCGGTTTTTCAGCTGGTAGTACACATACTGCGGCGGGGAGGGGTGTGGGGGGGGGGAGGGGAGGGGAAGGGGGGGGAACAGGGTGGAAGAAGGTGGGGAAGAGGAGGGTGGGGAAAAAAGAAGGGATGGTGGGAAGGAAGGCGGAAATGCGCGGCGTGAGGCACGGGTCCGCGGGCGCGCACATCTAAGCTTCGCCTCGCATTGGGACATACATACGCGCAGCGAGGGGGGGGGTACCTGGCAATGCGACGTGCGCGGGGGGGGGGGGGGGGGGGGCGGGAGTACCTGCGCAATGATGCAGCAGTCGGCGAAGATGAAGTAGATGGCCGTGAATGTCTGCGTGGTGCGGGCATCTTAGCCTCGCGTCGCATTACGACATGCGCGCGGCGGGCGGTACATGGCTATGCGACGCGCGCGCGAATGGTACCATGCGCGATGATGCAGCAGTCGGCGAAGATGAAGTAGATGGCCGTGAAGGTCTGGGTGATGAGCTGGCTGCCCGACAGCAGACAGCCCAGCAGGTTCAGCAGATCGCCCTGCGCACACAGGCGCACACGCACACGTACACGCGCACGCGCAAGCACACGCACACGCACGCGCACGACGCGGAGACGCAGCGCACACGGAGGTGAACTTAAAGCGGGAGGCGAGCAGGCCATGGGAGCATTGCATCATCTCGGATACATGTCCGGAACTTCACGACAATCCTGCAGCTATCGACACTTCGAGTTGAACATTCTACTTTCGTGGGAAGCCCTTCGCGCGGGAAGTTAGGGCACGAAGCGCATGTGTTGGGGGGCGAAAGCGGCGCGTACGGAGAGCCATTGGAAGAGGAACCAGGGCGAGAGCGCGTCGGCGGACCCGACTCGGATGTTCTGAATGAACTGCGGCAGCTGCGCGACGAGCCAGCAGCCGATGGAGGCGAGGCCGACCAGGAAGGAGAGCAGGTCCCATCGCGAGTACACGCAGTCCTGAAACCAGTCGCGGATCCACTCCACCGCGCCCGCCTCGCACCACGCATTTCGAGAGATCTACGCTGTCCATTTCTGCGCGGCGAGGCTAGCTTGAAATGAGGGTGACTTCGCGAGTGAAGGGAGAGATGCATGTTCTGGCGGGAAGTATGGTATTGCTTGTTGATGGACATGGTCGATTTGCCATGACTACCACGTCGTGAGTGGGAAACGAAACTAGGGAACAACTGTGCGGATAACTGCCCTTCGTTACCGCCTGCGACGTTCCTGTCGGCTGGCCAATGCAATGGCTGGCAGGAATCGCTGATCAGAAGCTGGGTGCGTCCGCCATGGATTTCATCAGGCTTCAAAACGGGCATGACTCGAGACAACTTCCATGTGGCCTTGGAGGTTGCGGGTGGGTGTGACACAGGCGTCGTCAGTGGGCTGGCGTGCGACGGGATCCATGCGCAAGTCGACCAGCATTGGCCGAAATATCCAACCTCGATCCGTGTGCGATCACCTTTGGCGAGCGAGGATTCGTGGGCTGTCGAGAATAGTGGTGCGCGTGGCGACGGAGAGGTTGCCTTTGGTTGGCGAAAGCGGTTTCATCGCACGTCGGTCGCAGCCAAGGGGATGAGGCGAGCCAACACGAGTAACAAGAGGTGATGACGTAACTTTGGCTCATGGATTGTCGCGGAGGTGAGTGCGCTTGTCCGCCACACAAGACTCGTGCTGCCGTGTCGGTTGGCGTCGCGATATAACCTACGATTATGGGTCGTGCAATTTGAAAGACTGAGGTACGATAACTGTTTAGAGTAATGACGAATTACCTTCCACAGTAAAGGATCAAAATCCCGTAAAAAGGCAAATACAAACAGGAGAAAAACAAGCCAAAAAAGCTGCCTGACCAGTGTCACTAATAAGCCCCGCACATTGGGCAAAAAAATGTGGGCTGGAAAATGCCCTGCACTACTACCCACCGGTCGTGGGAAAAAATAAAAACAGCAACTAAGCATTGGCAAAAAAGCCTAGGCGCCGCTTGTACCGCTTCAGCACTGACGAGAGGTTCTCCTTCCCCTTGGGAAACGCCACATCCCCCACCACCGTGCCGGTCCTGCCCTTGCGGCCCCCCACCGCCGCCTCCACCTCGCGAATGCGGTCGAGAAAGAGAGCAGCACATGCCGGCCCCCGGTGACCTGGCGGGCCGGGGAAGGGGCCAGTTGGGGCTGGCGAGGGGAATCTGCGTGCCCCAGAGGGAGCCGGCCAGCAGCCCCTGGAAGAGGCGCTGTGCTGCCAGCGCTGGCTGCCCCGCTGCCTCTCCAAAACAGGCACACAGCACCGGCACTGGGCGCGGGCGGGAAAATGCAGGGTCCAGAACTCCCTGAAATAATGCAATCAAAAGAGAGATGAAATAGATGAGGATGAGAACAACATGATAAAAGGATAGATTATGCTGCTAGACACAGCACGCTGGAAGAACATGCAGGGATGCGCATTGTGGGAGGAGGAGGAGGAGGAGGAGGAGGAGGAGGAGGAGGAGGAGGAGGAGGAGGAGGAGGAGGAGGAGGAGGAGGAGGAGCAAGAGGAAGAGAGGTGGCTGACCTGCAGCCTGTTGAGCACGTAGGTGTATTTGCCCCACAGCTCTGGGCGACTCTCCAGCTGAGACAGCTCCAACACACGGTGCACACACCACACTCCAAACGACACCACCAGCGCACCGCTCCACACACACCCTGTGCCACAGCCCCACACTCCCGCAGGCAGCACCCACTCCCCGTCCCTGCCCGCCGCCACTGTGCGCATGCACGTGGTGGGTAGCTGTGTGCGCGAGAGAGGGCGGGGGAGATGCGAGCAGAGAGCGCGGAGGAGGCGGCGAGTTTGCGGTCGCGGAAGGCGAGGGCGGCGATGAGGTCCTCATCGGGGCCGGTGTCAAAGCGGAAGAGCCAGTCGCTGCCGTCCACCCGCAGTAGGCGCTGCACGCACACCCGCACCGCCTCCACCCGTGCCTCCTCTGCCGCTGCTGCTACTCCCATGAGAGGAACTGATCGCTCGTGCTGCCTTCCCTGCTGCTGATCCTGCTGCTGTGCCTGATGCTGTGCCTGCTGCCAGCCCGGGTTGCTGACCTTCCTCCCTTTGCTGACAGCAGAAGCCGCCAGCCACTGTTCTGCCAGGTCTGGCAAGTCATGTGGGGGCATGGCAGGGCCCCTGAATGCCCGTCACATGCATCGTGCTCCACTTTCCACTACCCCTGTTGCTTGCTGTTTCTGCGCCCCGCACGGCCTGGGATCCATACCCCCACATGCCCCCACTGCCTGTTCGCTGCAGCGACCCCACTCTCCCATTTGTGAGCGCAGCAGGAGAGGCAGCAGGAGAGGCAGCGTCGCAGAGCCCCACATGCAGTGGTGCAGTGCGGTTTGACCACGTCCCCACCAGCTCATCCACCTGCTGCTCCCATGCACTGCCCATGACGCCCCCTGCACCGCCACCAGCGCCGCCACCAGCACCGCCACCAGCACCACCACCAGCACCGCCCATAGCAGTCCCACCTCGACCCGCACTGCTAAACTCCGCATACTCATGCTGCAACTGGCTCAGCTGTGCCAGGCTGGCAGCAGCGTCTGCCACGTCACTCTCACCATCAGTACCATCCTCCACCACTGCAAACCCAAGTGCCCCCACTCCACGTTCCTGCTGATACACCTTCTGCTGATACACCTGCTGCTGCTGCAAACTGCTGCTGCTGCTGCTGCTCCTGAAAGGAACTCATGCGTCCAGTAGTGAGCAGGCCATCGCAATGCCCTGCCAGCCCGCCATGCCCGAGCAGCGAGGGGGTTTGCGCCCTGAGTCCCCCCAGCAGCAGGTCGCCCCGCAGGTTGGGCGTGGAGCGACTGGTCCCTCCACCTGCCACACATGCCCTGCACCACCCACCCCACTCAGCAGTGCAACCCCTGTGCCCCATTCCGTTCCCCCACCCATCCCCTCTGCCACTGCTGTGCTCTGCGCCCCCTGGCCCATGCCCATTCCAGCTTCCATGCCCATGCCCGCACCCATGCCTGCACTCATTCCTGCAACCCATGCCCGCACCCACGCCCGCACCCACATAGGTGGGAGGCGGCAGGGAGGAGGGGGGGTCAGGCGAGATGCAGCGGCGGGCGGGGAGGAGGTAGGAGGGGTGCAGCAGAGAGAGCTCGTGCAGGGTGGGCAGGTGGGAGAGCGTGCTGTACTCGCGTGCTGCTGCTGCTGCTGCTGACGATGGCAGTGAGGATGAGAGCAGAGATGCCATGCCCCCACCCATGCTGCTGCTGTTCATACTGCTGCTGGCGCTGATGGTGTTGGTGCTGCTGATGCTGCTGATGCTGCTGCTGATGCTACTGCTGGGCACGGAGGAGGGTGAGAAGGCGGGGGGAGAAAGACGGGGAGAACGGCTTGGCACTAGCTGACAACAGATGCAAGCCGTGAAAAGCAGGCAGGGAAGCCTGCTTCGACACATAACAGTCCACAAGGCAAGCCCATGCCGCCCTGCGATGCACCTCCTGTTGCCCTCCCTGTGCCGCCCTGCCCTGCCACCCCAAAAACACCCTGCGCCTGCGCCTCCCCCACGCCCTGCCCCCACCCCTCCACTGCCACCGCATGGCCATGCAGGTCGAAGATTGCCGCCCAGAAATCGTCCAGAATGGCGGCCACCTGCCTGCGCGCCCCTCGCCCCAGCCCACACACTCGCGACAGACTGCCGCTGCCACTCCTGCCACCACCACCCATGCCACCACCCGCTCATGCCACTCATGCAACACCCGCTGCTGCTGTGCTGCTGATCCCGCTGCTGCTAGCATGGCCAGCAGCAGTGGTGGAGCAGGGGGCGAGGGCTGGCAGGAAGGAGGGCGCTGACAGATCCGCACACTTTCCGAGAAACCCTTGCCACTCTTGCAGGCAGATGGAGAGCCATTCGCCAGGTCACAGGGCTCAGTGGAGGGATTGGGCTTTCCCTCTGGTGGGTGTTTGCATGAGGGCTTGGCAGGGCTGGTTGCGGAATCGAATGGATTGTCTGGCAACGGCCCCACTGCTGCCATCTCCCCCTGTTGCTCCCCTGCGCCCGCCCCTTTGCTCCCCTCCTCCCCCGCCACCTCTTCCCCTCGTCGCCGCACCTCCACCATCTGTTTCTCCTCCTCCTCCACCTCCACCTCTACCTCCTCCTTCCCACTCTGACTCGCACCCACCACCTCCGCTCCCATGCCAATCGCCCCCTCCCTGCACTCTGCTGCGCCGCCCTGCTCAGCGCCCCCTGTGCTGCGTCAGGGGCATCTGCTGGCCCCCCACCCGCTGCTGCGTGAACCTCGCCCTTTGCCTCCTCCCCCTCCTCCATCTGCTCCTCCTGCTCCTCCTGCTCCTTCTGCTCCTTTTGCTCCTCCTCCCTGTCGGGCAGTGATGCGGCCGCCTTGGCCTCCACAGCAGGGGCAGCAACCGGTGGCTGCCCAGTCTGTCACAGCACCTACTCCTGCCACCGCTGCTGATTCCTTCCTATCCACGACCCCACCCACTGTTAATGTTGCAGCCTCAACCACACTTGCATCGGCAGCAGCGGCAGCAGCAACAGAAGGTTCGGCGGCAGCAGCAGCAGGAGCAGCAGAAGGTACAGCAACCGCAGCCTCGGATTGAGCGCCATACTGCTCCTCAACCACCTTTTGCTAGCTCTCCTTCTGCCCTATGCTCCGCCCCCTCCTGCTCTCCCCCATTCTGCTCCGAACTCACTGCCAGCAGAGCTTCTTGGCTTGCACCCACACACGCATCACCAACCATGTCCCCACTCCCAGGTCCCATGCTCCCCGTCTTCCCCTCTCCTGCTCCCTCTTGCTCGTTTGCCCTGCAAGGGACTCTGCCGCCCACTGCTGCGTCCCCTCCCACCCCTCCTCCCCCTCCTCGCACACCACCTGCTCCCCCCACTGCAACCCCCCCTCCCCCTCTTCCTCTAGCCACTGCTGCTGCCACATCACATCATCCCCATCCCTCTCCTCCCCCACCACCGCCTCTCCGCCATACAATCCAGCCCGCCATCCCCTCCCGCGCGTCCCTATCCATCCCCTCGCCCATAAGAGTCTCTTCCCCATGCCCTTCATCCATAACATTATTCCCTCCCCCTCCCCTCCTCTTCCCCTTCCCCCACTCCCTCCGACCGCAGTGGTACCCTCATCACCCACACCAGCGCTCCCACCGCCGCTGCCAACCCCCACACTCCCCCCCACCGCCGCCCCCACCTGCGCCAGCCCATGCCCACACCGCGCCTGGCGCCAGCGCCACTGCCAGCCCCGCTCCGCCCTCCACCTCCGCCTCCCCCGCCACGCCCCCCCCGCCAGCCACTCCCACAGCCCCATGCCCTCCATCTCCCCCGCATAGCCCTGCAGCAGCGCGGGCAGCGCGGAGGCCAGGGGCGCGAGGGAGAGCGCGGAGAGGGCGCAGCAGGCGAGGCAGGCGAGCAGGGCGCAGGGCGGGGGGGAGGCGGCAGGGGCCCATGACGTGGGGGGAAGCCGCCAGGCGGATGAGAGGCGCGCGGCCAGGGGAGCAGGGGCGCGAGGGCGAGAGGCGCGGATTGAATCAAAAGGAGGGCGGAAGAGTCACCTAGGAGAAGCGCGGGGAGGAGAGTGAGGAGGAGGGAGGCGAGGCGGGTGGCTGCAAAGGCGAGGTAGGGGGAGGGGTGGCGCGGAGGGGGGGGGAGGAAGGGGGAGCGGAGGAGGCGGGGGGAGGAGGGAAGGCGAAGGCGGAGAGGGCGAGCTGGGCGGCGAGGGTGGTGGAGGGCGCGAGGAGGTGCGCTGCTGCCAGCAGCACGAGCGCAAAGAGCCCCGGCGCTGCCTTGGCTGTGAGCAGCTGCAAGGGGAAGGGGGAGAGGCGTGGGACGGGAGGGAGGGCAGATGGGCGGAAAAGGACGGGGGAGAGTGAGGTGCTGTGCCGATGATACAGATGGTGCGGTGCAGGAAGTACATTCGCACATCTACATTACGTGAGGAAAGGGGAGAAGGGGAGGGGGTGGAAGGGAGGGAAGGTGGGGGGAGAAGGGAAAAGGGGGGAGAGGAGAGGGAGGGGGGTAATGCAAGAGATAGTGCCCACACACACACACGCGCATGCAAGCACACACACACACACACACACACACACACACACACACACACATCCACGCATCCACACCTGCACGAGGAGGCAGTGGCCGTCCTGCAGCGACAGCACCGACAGTGCGTCCTGTCTCGTCCTCCTCGCCCTCCCCCCTCCTCATCGCCCCTGCAGCAGCGCCCAGCACCAGCAGCACCGCCGCTGCCAGAGCCAGCGACTGCGGCAGCAGCAGCTCCCCCCACCGCCGCCACCGCCGCCCCCCTGTGCACCTTGCGCCCGCCCCCTGCTTCTCTGGCTTGCGCTCTTCCGAGTCGACCTTTTCCTGCATGCGGGCAGGCACGGGCAATTTGAGGAGGTTTAAGAGGGTGGTGAGAGGCAAGATACAGTGAAACGGGTATGAGCGCAGTAGCAGTTTTGAGACGTCTCAAAACGTGAAACGGGTATGAGCGCAGTAGCAGCAAGCGGATCCCTGACAGCACGGCACAGCGAAGCGAGCGGACCCGAAAAAGGACGAGGGGCGAAGCGATGCAATGAAGCGACGAAGAGACAGCACTAGATAGATAAGCAACGAAGCGGCTAAGAAGCAGGGGAAGCGGGAACGAGGAGACGAGGGGCGTACCTGCCAGGCGAGCAGGAGGAAGGTGTGCGGCAGCAGACCAAGCGCCCAGCAGCGCCGCGCCCATCCACGCGCTCTCCGCGGAGGGGAGAAGCGCGGCGGGCGCGACGAGGGGGAGGGGGAGGCGGGCCGGGATGAGCGCGGCGGGGGGCGAGGAAGGGGAGGGGCGGAGAGGCAGTGCAGGGCGCAGGAGAGGAGGGAGCAGCAGCAGCAGGCTGACGCACAGCGACACCAGCTGTTGGGCCTGCACGTGTTGGGTCGCGGAGGGGCGGGAGAGGCGCGGTGGCGGGGAGAGGTGGGATCGTAGAGACATGGGCGGATGAGGTAGTGAGCGCGCAGGCATGGGAAGCAGTTTGGATGGGGAGCAGAAACGGAGGACATGCGGGCATGAATGCACGTGCAGTGACCAGTCGATTGCGCGTGCGCGCGCATCTGGGCTTCCGCTGCCAACTCCCCACACCGGCCGCGGGATGCGCCGCGCAGATAAAGCGTCCCACATGGCCGCGCGGTGGCAAGGGAAGGGAAAAAAAGGGGGGGGAGGGGGCGAAGTACAAGCTTGGGAATGGGACGATTTCGTAGCGGAGTCACAACCCGCAGAGGGGCGCACCTTGCCGGGAGGGGCGGCGATGGCGGCGAGGCCGGAGAGGGCGGAGAGCAGCAGCGCGGGCTTGAGCGCAAGCCCCGCCAGCAGCTGCAGCGCCGTGGCGGAGGCCCAGAGCGCGGCGACGTCGAGCGCGACTATGGAGGCGGCGCAGAGGATCGGCAGCAGGCGGCGGAGGGCGCGCGGAAACTCGTGAAGCCACACCTGCGACGAGGCGGAAAACACGGGACGGATTCGTGAGCGGCTGAATGCAGGAATTTTGCGGGAATTTGTGATCGCGGGCGGGCAGAAACCGGGTACAGGCGGAGAGCGAGCTGGCGCGCGCAAGATTGCGCACCTGAGGAACGGTGGCGCCGGTAACGTCGACGATGCGCGCAGCGGAGTAATTGAGGAGCAGCGTGACGGCGTGCGCGAGCAGCAAGAGCGGCAGCAGCGCCGCGTCCGCCGTGGCGCGACGCGGCCGCGGAGAGGGCGAGCGACCAGAGGTGCGGGTTGAGCGACGGCGACGAGCAGCGCGAGCGGCACGCCCAATTAGCGACCACACGGGACACAACGGACCGCTCCAGGCGGAGGGTAAAACCCGCGGGAGAAACGCCATGATGCGATAAATATTACGCCTCGTACTTAGCGCACGGTTGCGGGACACGGACTACGATGTCCTTAAGGGGCTCGAGTCGTAAGCGGTCATCTCAGAACTACGCGATTAGCATGCGACGAGCACACGCAAAAAGGGTGACGACTGTCGGGATCAACGAATGCAAGATGAAAGCGAGCGTTGGTGCGTTGTTGTTAGATCAGTTCGCACGGGATATCACTCTTTTGATGGTTCTTTGCTGCGCCTCTACTCGTTGCGCCCATGCGTTGATATTGCTGCAGCAGACACACCCAGTTGGCACGATCAGATCATGCCTGGGGGTACACCGGCCCGATTGTACCGCGTTGAGGTGATAAGAGCGCAATCCACACGACGCGTGACAGCTGGAACGACGCGAGAAATATTGATTCGACTCTGCACTACCAGGCTGGTCTGGGAGTTGGGGGATGGTGGGAGGCTTATCTCTTGCTTGCTCCCACGGAGTCCAACAATAAAAACGGCTTCTAGTATCGCATCTGAGAAGCTAACAGCCATGCAAAAGGTCTTTCCATTCTGTACCGTGCACTTTGCTCGCCTGGCAATCGTGCTCTACATACAACCAACCAGGGACAATTGCGCAGTCAGAGGAAAATTAATGGTGTTCTTGCAGGTGCGTGAGCACGCCTCCGCTTCTGTTCATCGCCACTTCCTCTTCAATTGATCGATCACAGCTTGTCCCGAAAGCGAGAAACAGAGCTTCCCGCTAGGTGAATGGATAACGAAAAAGGGAATGGTTTGAAATGTTTTCAGTTGGTTTCTGATGGTTAGAGCTGGTTTCAAAGGTTTGATTTGGGCTCCTCCTCCCCCATCACCCCATCCTCCCCCATCACCCCCCTCCTGCGCTCCTCACATCCACCTTGTGCGCTGCAGTCTTCCCCCTGCATGCTAGTCAGCTGGACGCCTCGCTTCGCTTCCCCCGCACGCACCCCCCCTCGATCAAACCTCTTTTCCCCGCCAGACCGCCCATTGCCCCAAGGTTCTCCTCCTGCACTGCACTTTTTCATCGGCAGCCGCCAATGACAAGCCGTCCTGCCTGAAGGCATCTGCCCGTGTGGGCCCACAGGCAATCCTGGTCGACAGCGCAGCAGCGCTGCCAACGCACGCTGCACTGTGTATACCAGCACACCCCGGCGGACGGTGCAGATTCACGTGTCCCATTGATTCCATCATGGACGCTCCAAATCTAGGGCTGGCCTCTGTTGTCGTGGGGAATCCGATCCTGTTTCGATATTACGTGTGCCACCAGCCACATTCGTCTCAGATAGATGCGCAAAAAGGTAGTGTATCTTCAAGATCAAGCTTGTACAATCATGGAGGTAGTGGGTCAGTAGAATCAAAATGGTAATGGATTTCTAGTTAATTTTCGTGGTAATGGAGCAGCGAATCACCTCAAATACCGTATGAGGTGCAAACAAACGATAAAAGGTCCCTCCTACCTAGTCGTAATGTGCATAGGATAATGAACTACCAGAGACCAATGGGATTTAAAACCGAAATATAAAATAGTGAACCCCGACCCAGCTTGAAAGATTTCTGCGACGAGTTTCTCGAAAACTGCTAGAGATCGGGCCGATTCAGCACTGATGTGCAGTTCAATATATACAATAGAATGAAGGAGAAACAAACTGTTGTTACAAATGAACCATCAGGACGCGTCCCTACATTCGTTTTTTGCACAATCTATCCTGCACAGGATCAAAATTCAACGTGGTTTAAAAGGTTATCAAACGTTTGAAATTTATTAAGCCGGCTTGCAGTATGGTGAATACCTGTTTGCACGATGGATCGTGCGAAATCGAAGAAGGGACGCATCCTCATCCTTGTCAGAACTGCTTTCTAGGTGAGCGCATGGTCAGTGAGGATGAGCCTTCTGTGCCACTGTCACTCCTGTCACTGTTTGCTCGCATGAACGAAGTGATCACCTGTCACTACCCCATGCTCGGTCGCCAGCGACTCCCTTTGCGCTTGGAGTAATTATTTTAGTTAGGGTGTCGAGTCGACTTGTGACAATGGATTTTGGCGGGAGGCCATGACGACGCCAGCGAGCACTTTGCGGGGGTACAGTCAAAGGCGGTGAGGCTGCGACGACGTGCGACACTCCAAGCCATTCGCGAAGTTTCGGGAATTGAGAGATCCCCAGGAGCCGAGCGATATGGTGGAATGGTACGTCTGGGCTGCGAGGAGGCACGTTAGATGCGCTTCGCGTTGCGTAGAGCCGAGCAAGGTTAGGGGAACCAGTGCGGAAGATTCAGGATGTGATTGAATCTATTCCAAGGCTACTATTCTAACGAGCGATTCGCATCCCCGTCCCTTCTCCAGGACTTGCAATGGCACAACCAGCGATTATTCCAAGCTGACGTGGCAGCCGATGGCGAGGGAATTGCGAAGCAAGAGGCGAAGGCGAGACCCGAGGGGACGACGGCGGAGAAGGCGGGGGAGGAGAAGCTCGTCCCGACGCAGCAGGAAGGGACTCCGCGCTGGCGACCAGCTCGTGGCCGCGCGTAACGCTGATGACGACCGTGACGTGTCTGAGGGCGGTGATGGTGACGATAATGGGGGTGATGGAGCAGCAGCAGGAGCAGTAGCAGCAGTGGAAGCAGCAGCAGCGGCGATGGCGGCAGGGGGTGATAGTGAAAACGGCAGCAGGGGAGAGCGAGAATGAGGCCCGTCGCCCCGTGCCGTCCATCCACCCTCCTCGTCGCTCCGCCTCCCGCGCCTCAAGAGCAGGCGGCAGCAGGGCAGGCGGCAGCAGGGCAGGCACGAGGCCGGGCCCACCTGTGGCGCTGAACGTGCGCGACGACCGCAGGGTGGACGATGCTGCACATCGCCAGCCACATGGGCAACGTGCGCATGGTGCGTGGTAACATGGTAACCGGGTATTGAGGTAGCATGGTAGCGCCGTGGTTACAGGGTAACACGGCAGGGCGACGTGGGGCGTGGATGAGCCATCACTGAGGCCGAAGCACTGGGGCAACCTGGGCGTCCTGGGCGACAGCAAGCTGTCAGTGTTCTGCTCTCTGCCACCAGCGCCCCAAATCCCCATTTTTTCCTTTCTTTCCCGAGTCCTGCTGTGACCCACGCACCCGCTTATTCCAGGTGCGGCAGTTACTGGAGGAGGGCACACGTGGCAGTGGACGAGCCATCGCTGGGCCCGAAGCACGCGAGAGCAAGCTATCAGTGTTCTCTTAGCACCCGTGCCTCAAAATCCCATTTTCTCTTTCTTTCCCTTTCATCCACCCAGGTGCGGCAGCTACTGGAGGAGGGCAACGTGGCGGTGGACGAGCCATGAGTGTCGCTCATTGTCCCTTCCCCTTCTCTTCCGTGTCTTTCCCACCCTCCCACCCACCCAGGTGCGGCAGCTACTGGAGGAGGGCGATGTGGCGGTGGACGAGCCATCTCTGGGCCCGAAGCATGCTATCCTGGGCGTCCTGGGCTTGAGCAACCTATCAGTGTCTCTGCACCCGAGCCTCAAACCGCTATTTTTCCTATCTTTTTCCCTGTCCTTCCCCAACATACGCACCCCACCCACCCAGGTGCGGCAGCTACTGGAGGAGGGGGATGTGGCGGTGGATGAGCCATCGCTGGGCCCGAAGTACGCAGGGGCGACGGCGCTGCACCCTGGCAGCAGCAGCGGGGCACATAGCCGTCATGGACGCACTGCTGGAGGGCGGCGCCAACATCGAAGCGCGGCACCCGCGGTGCCTTTGGCTGTCAGTCCCCATACTCTTGCTGGTGTCTGTTAGGCGTGTCTTTGCTTTTTAGGCGCCTCGAAACGCGGCAGCAGCGGGGCACATAGCGGGCATCGACGCGCTGCTGGAGGGCGGCGCCAACATTGAAGCCCGCACGCGCGGTGCCTTCGGCTGTGAGTGCTGGTGTCTGTGTTTTCTAGGCGCCTCCAGAAGCGCCTCAGAAGGCAGCAGCAGCGGGGCACGTGGCAGTCATGGACGCGCTGCTGGAGGGTGGAGCCAAACATCGAAGGCCCGCAACCCGCGGTGCCTTTGGCTGTCAGTCCCCTTCCCTGGTGCTCATGCTGCTGCTGCCACTGCCGCTGCCGCTGCCACCCGCATGTCCCGTCGCTGCTCTGCTGAAAACTTCTTAGACCTACTCTGTCACTCATACTCCCTGGTCCCCTCCGTTTCTCCCTCGCCTCGCATCCTCCCCTCCCCTCCCCTCCCCTCCCCTTTCTAACTCACCCCTCCCCACCTCCCATGCCCCGCGTTCAGCAGAGGACATGCAGGATCCGCTCTTCAACTTGCCGCTGCTGCAGTGCAGGGCAGGTCGACACTGACGCACGGCATGCTCTCCCACTCATACCCCCCATTCCCCTCCACTCCTTGCCTCGCATCCGTCCCTCCCCTCAACCCCCTCTTCTCGCGACCCCTTCCCCCCACCTCCACCTCTCTCCCCAGGGACCCCGCTGCACCACGCGGCACGGCACAACCGGCGGCGGGCAATCCGCTTCCTTCTCGAGAGTGGGGCGTTCCTAGCAGAGGACATGCAGGACCCGCGCTTCAACCCGCCGCTGCACTACTGCCGCAGCCTGCAATATGCCTACCAGCTGCAGCAGAGCATGGTTAGGGGGCCAGTGGGGGGGGAGTAGTAGTGAGGACGGTAGCGAAGCCGAGAGTGGGAGCGGCTTGGACGGAGGGGTGGAAGGAGGTGTGGTGGATTAAGGTGGGTAGGAAGGTGGGCGGGTGAAGAGCCAATTGTAGTCCGCCAGTCAACCATAGCTTCCCCAACATAGCCCGTCCAATGTACCTAATTCGCATGGCTCAGTGCAATGTGCAAATGGCTGTGTAGTGTTCAGAATATGGTAGGAGTGGCTTGTGGTAGTGTCAGTCAGTAGCTGCACGTCATGACTCGTGACGTGTGTGGAAGAGATGCAACTTCTGTCAATTTTTTATTTGTGTCACGCTTGTACGGTACCGGTATTACCGGTAGGGCAGCTGATGCGGGTTTTGGTACAGTGGTGTGGTGTGGTGTGGTATGGTGTGGTGTGGTGTGGTGTGTGTGGTGTGGGTGGTGTGCACTAGAGATTGGTTTGCTAGCTTCATCTGCAAGTCGTACGGACTTCAACCCGCCCAATTGGTTTTCTACATTCACACAGTGCACTCTCCCATAGCCTTAGAGGGGGGCAGTAGCAGCACCAAGGATGGCACAGTAAATACAATGTATTAGTACACTATCACCATTACTAGCTAGAAACAGGTACCGTAATGTATAGGTATATATTTTTAACACATGAACCCCCAGTAACTTCATGTGTAGGTCTAATCACCAGCCTGTAGTCAAAACCAGCCAACACAGCTAGAGCAAACAGAGTTCGAGAGACCAGGGAAGCTGAACTGACTTAGAGAAAACCCGGAGGCTCTCCACCACCTCAGGCTAGAAGTCGCAGGCCAAGCAGGAACAACAGAGTCTAAGGCAAACAATCCACGACAGCCAAGCATCGTTATTCGCTGCAGCACCGCACTGCACCGTGCTGCACATACCCTGCACTGCACTGCACTGCACTGTGCTGCTCTGCTCTGCACTGCAGCAGGCACCCGTGGGAGGTGAAGGCAGGGCCACCGTCAGTCGTCGAACTCAGCCCCGTGCTCCAGCAGGTAGTTGGCAGCGAGCTCCTCGTTCTTGTCGCACGCGAAGAATGCCTCCACCACCAGATCGCGGTCAAACCCCATTGCTTCCAGCTGCAAGGGACACGGGGAAAGGGTATGGGCACGGGGCACAGGGTATGGGGCAGTGAGCATGATGGGTTTGTGCAGAGAGGGGTGAGTGAGCGCGAGAGTGCTTGGAGCAAAGCAGGCCTCCACCACCAGATCACGGTCAAACCTCATTGCCTCCAGCTGCATGGATGGGGAGCACAGAGGACAGGGTACAGGGCATGGGCCACAGGGCATGAGGGGTGTGAGCAGAGGGAAAATAGGAGGGAGCAGGCAGGTAGGTGAGGGCATGCCTCTCGTTCTGCACTCCAGCAGGCAGGTGAGAGGCATGTGAGCTTCTGAGAGACATGTGAGACAAGAGAGGGTATTCGAAAGCCTGGCAACTGTCTGTAATCACTTCCAGGCCAAAGCTGCTTCACCCGTGCTACAGCCCTCTCACCCGTGCTACAGCCACCCTTCTCACCCGTGCTACAGCCCTCTCACCCATGCTACAGCGCTCTCACCTGAGCTACAGCCGCTCTCACCCGTGCTACAGCCGCTCTCACCCGTGCTACAGCCC